TCTGCCTCAAACCATCATAAAAGGCTACCTCCTCCGAACAGCTCATCGAAAACGACAGCTAAACAGAGAGCTTTTTCTTCCTTCTTTACATGATTGCAAATTGGTAGATTCAAAGCAGCCCCGTACCAATCATAAAAGTGATCGTTAGCTAAAGTGTCGGTGGGCTCTGTTTCAAGAATTGGCATTGGTGCATTTTTCCGATTCATGATGAAACAGTAAAACTCCCCTAGCAACTCAAAAAAGGAAAAATTTATAAACAAATGGCCACAGTCGTAACAATAAGTATTCAGAGTCATTTTCTTTTTCATATGGGAGCAGCTCAGATTTGGTCAGCACTGAGCCACATTATACACACTTGAGAGTGGAAGGAGAAAACCAAAGTCGCCACTTTTGAAATAATTTAAGCGAAGTTATATAAGAGCATCAGGTTTTCATGGAAATATTAGCAAAGGAAAGGCTTCAGAAAGGTCGTGTTACCGTAGGATTATCAACTGACCAAATTCAGTGCCAAAATCATCAAAGTGGTCTTTAATTAATTGAAATCAGGTCTTAAATTCTTGTGTTCTGTTTTAGAATTAACTAATATTGTTTGACTGACATGGTAGAAGGTTCCTAGTAACTCCATCGGTAAAGCTTGTTGACAAAAGCAACAGTAAAAGTAGAAAGTAATCAGAGATTTTATTAAAATTTATTGATTTCAATCAGGCTGATGTCGTAAATTTAGCATTCTCTGTACAGTCGAACCACTTTAATATGGGCCCTGAGGGGGTCATAGAAAGTGTCCATATAAGGGCTTTCCTCTCCCAATGGAAAAAGCAAACTGTCCGTAATAATGAGGTGTCCGTACTAAGCGGGTGTCCGTAAAGCAGGAAGGTGCAAACAGAAAACGACAGTCAAAAAGGTTAAAAAAAAAGTGTCCCAAGAAAATCAGCCGTCATAAAAGGCTTAACCTCTCCATTCGTCTTCGAACAGCTCAAAAAGGACAGCTTAAACAGAGACCTTTGTATCTCGTTTTAAATGATGGCATATCATTATTGATAGATTAAACAGCTCTGTAATCATCAAAGTAATCGTTAACTCAAGTGCGTGCGTTCTACTTCCAAGTGAATTGATATTGGTGGCTAGTTTCCGCTTCAATGAATCAGTAATACTTCCCTAGCAACTCGAATAGGGAATCATAAACGAATGGCTACAGTTAGAACTTTGAGAGATTTTTTTTTTCATATGTGAGAAACTCAGATGTGTTCAGCAGCCACGTTAGTGACTCTCTATAGTGGCAAGATAAAATCATCGTCGCCACGTTTAGTAGCTTGAGGCAGGAAGAGCACCAAGTTTTCATGCAAAAGAAAAGCCTCAGAAAAGTCGTGCTACCGCATTGTTTGATGATAAAAAACAGCCCTTGCCTAATCTTATAATCAATTTGCTTTTGCGCTAACTTCACATAGAGTGAAAGAGTGAAGAAAAGATGATACCGAGAATGTCAACTTAGTTCACGTAATGGTTTAAAAAATTAATTATTAGAATGTTGATAGTTGATAGTGAGCAATTAGCCCTACCTTTCTACACTATATTTTAGCACAGATAAATGTTTTAGATTTTGTTTTCTCTGTCAGTGCTTGAATAGTGTATATTGACCTAATTTGGGGGTGTAGGGAGGGAGCAAGGTAATTAACTAAATAATAATAGACTGTTATTAAAAGTAGTCGCCCAGATTGCTTACAAAGGTGTCGTTAGGATGTCATTCAATGTCTTTTCATCTCATCCTTGAATATTATGGTGGATTAAGTGTTTTACTCTTTATCATGTTTTAATACAACTCCATGATGGACTGAGCATTAATTTGAGCAACAGGTTGCAGGAGTCTAGTTAGCTCTTCATGATTATAGTTTNAATTTCGAATAAATATTCATTTTAATGAAATTGACAAGTTATTAATCGGAAAACCAGCGGTTGCGTTCTTTTAGTAATAAATATAGGACAGAGGTGGAAATACAAATTTTCTTATATCAGGCATGAAAACGTTTGACCAATATTAACTCTTTGCATGACTCGTAACGCTAATAACCGATTGAGCCTTTATAGTTAATTCATTTAATGTTGAAAAGTGTAAAATCTAGGCGTTGAAATTAACATATTAATATTAGTTATTATAAAACTTATCAAGACTTTGAAGTCAATTAAGTAACCTATTAAGACTTGAAGATTACTTAATTAACATTGTAAATGGTAATCTATTAAGACTTTGAACTGAACTTATTAAACATTGTAAACGTTAATCTATTAAGACTTTGAACTGAACTTATTAAATGGTAATCTATTAAGACTTTGAAGTTAACTTATTGAACATTGTAGATGGTAATCTATTAAGACTTTGAAGTTAACTTATTAAACATTGCGAACCTTTTTTGATTGACAAGTTAACTTTTTTTACTTTTACATCGTAAAATTACATTTGATTGACAACTTAAGAAGCAGACAAATTTTACGTCGTAAAAGTTACGACATAAAACCTATTTGATTGACAACTTGACGAATGGATTAATTACAACCTACCTTGCTTTTACGCCGTAAATATCCTCCACGTAACGTGTAGCTAGAATTTATTTTATGTCGTAACGCGAACCTCGTTTACGTCGTAATTTCAAGTGGATGATATGATTACGACGTAACGTGTCATGCTAAATATAATCACGTCGTAAATGTGACGTCGTGATATATTTGAAGACTTTAGGACGACCTTCAAAGAACACTGAAGGATAATCGATTTCTCGCCGTGAAATAGACGTTGGTATATTATACGACGTAACAATGCGAGTACAAGGTTTACGTCGTAAATCTTACGACGTGATACCTGACAGGAGAATTTGACCCCCTGGACGTGAAAATGGTGTCAGAAAGTCAAAAATGTGCTCAAAGTGTTTTGAGCAGTAATGAACGCCATGGTCAAAACACTTACACATCTGTTCGGAAGACGATTTAAAATCTAGAATTTTCGGAACATTTGTTGTAGAATTTCTTGCTTGCCTGCCTCTCCTAGAATTTTCGAACATCTAAAAAATGGTATAAGTGCCCATTTTTAACGGATTTCTACACTAAAAAGGTCACCTACAAATTCGGGAGCCTTTTTTCTGGCTGAAATTTTCGAAAAGGCAAGTTTTGATCCCTATAATTCTCGGACCACTAGACTTTCAGCTAGGAAATCCGAACAGATGAAAAAATTTTAGGGGATAAAAATATGCCTATATCTACCGTTTAAATACTAAAATACGTTTAACAATGCTATGCTTAAGTGGTTTTGAACTATGTTCTCGTTGGGTGCCCCGAGTATAATGGGAGTAAACTGTTCTAGATCTTTAACATGAAGCTGAGAAAGGCGTATGCTGATGTAACCGAGCTCGATAACCAGCTCACAGAGCATTTTCTTTTCGGTATTATTTTTGCGGTTCCGTTTATCGTTTTCCCACGTTACGCGTTTCTTTAGTTCTGCTTTTTGGTTAGCCGTGTTTTATCTAGCTCTGTGATTTCTCCGCCGTTACACCCTTAAGCAGGAAAGAAATCAATTGACTTTTGCTCGCTTTAATTTGCCGCCATTGCTGTAGTTAACCGCGAAACTCTCCATTCGTTTCCTCCTATTGTATTAACAGAACACGTATGTATTTTGCAGTAAAGCGATTATAGCAATGTTTTACAAACAGGCGTATTGCCAAAAGGAAGATTTCACTGTTTTGTGGCTTACCTAGCTATAGTTGTCCAATCGTATTGCTAATAACAGGATGTGAGCTGTTTGTGTTCAGCGCGATATAAATACGCCTGCACGTAGCGTTTCTACGCATTAGCACAGTTCCAGTTGCCGCGTTCACTTGTCAAGCCGTAGGACATAGTTTTGTAGAGTTCTCCCCTCGCTGGAGTGGGTAAGTGTTTTCCTTTTGCTGTTTTTCGTAGGATGTTCTTCGTTCTCCTCCGAGGTCATCGTGTTTACGAAACGTCCAGCGACCGTAGTATTACTTTCCTGTTGTAGATTTAATCGTTTCTTAGATTTGTTGTTTTCCGCTGTTGTATTGAGCGCTTTCGTTCTGAAGTCATTGTCTGTTAGTTTCTTATCCGTTGTTATTTTTTTAGCTTAGTTTTTTCTCTTAGTTTTGCCACCGTTTTGTGCGAGATCGTAGATTACAACCTTTCAGTTTGACCTCGTTTAGCTTGTGTTTTCTTGTGTTCGTATCATAGGACTCTTGACACGAGACACGTACTATTTGTCACGCTTGTTCTTCTTTCGTGACCTATCATGTTTCTTAGCGTGTTTTGTTTACTTTTTACATTTTAGTGTAGTTTTATTTTCTTAGCGTGTATTTTTTAACCGTCTTAGTAATTTTTAGCGTCGTTGTTTCCTTTTAGCGCTATTGCCCTTTTCATCGCCCCTTTCTTTCCCTTTTTGTTCCTTTATTCGTTTTCCTAGTATTTGTTTTTATTGTATTTCTTTTCCGCTAATTGGCCATTAGAATTCTTGTTTGTTTTGTACGCATTTTGTCTTTCGTTGGTGGCCATTCGCTACCACCCCTACTCGCGCGGCTCGGTCACATTTTGGTACCAGGAGTGGGGTAGCGAATATTATTTGGCTTCCAAAATCTTGGAAATACAATAAAGCACTAGGAGTAGAAAAGGGCAATAGAGGTCACTTCCCATATGGAGGGTGAGGTGGAGGAACTCAAACAGAAGCTCCGAAAGTACAGGAAGAACACAACTAGGCATACGAACTCTTGAAAACCCTCCAAGCCAAGGAATCCCTAGGAGCTCCAACCCCATCCCAAACCCAGGAAAAGCAGTTAGTGGTGATCCCCAATGAACAAAAATTGAGGAAGTTTAGTGGAAGACATGAAGATAATGAACTGTCCATAGAGGATTTCATTGATAATGCGAAAAGCGCAATCACTTTAAGAGGACTCCCCTTCCCAGAGCAGGCGAATTTCATACTCTCATACCTAGAGGGCCCTGCCAAAGAAGAAATGAAACTTTACCCTAAAAGTGACCTTAAGAATTCGGATAAGACCTTCGACCTCCTTCAAGAGTCTTTTGGTGAGAAGCGTTCTGTTCCCCAGCTCTTAAAAGCCTTTTATGACCGCCGACAGAGGGAAGGCGAAACCCTTCGTGCATTCTCCCAAGCGCTAAGAGAACTGCAAGCTAAGATAGAGAAGAAAAGTGTGACCAAATCAAGTGGCCAAGACGCGGCTCTTCGAGACCACTTTGCCGAAAATGTTAGAGATATCCCCTCCTTCAAAAGGAACTTAAGAAATTTATCAGAACACACCCGGAAGTTTCCTTTCCAGACACCAGAGAGGAAGCTATTCGCTGGGCTGAAGAAGACGAGAAGTCCTGTTGACCACGCCAAAGGGTGGCTTCGTCGCATGAGACCAGTACCTCCACTAAGCCCTCTTCTCTCGAATCAGCCATGAATGAGATGATTAAAACCCTGCAAGGCCAGCAAAAGGCTATTGAAGATCTAGCAGCCAATCTCAAGAAGTTGAACACAGTGTCCACCAATAGAGGACAGAATGTACAGCCTCAGCCCCAGTTTCAGCAGCGACAGCCCAGACCTGACGTAGGTGGTGACAGGTGTTATCAGTGCGGAGCTCCAGGACAGTTTGCCCGAAAATGCACAGCAAGAAGTAGACCCCCGCCCTTCCGGAACCTCACCCTCAGGCCTCCACATGACCCGTCAAACTAGTTCCCCCCCCCCCACCTGCAGCTGAGAGGCGGGCAGCAGGAGGGAACAGTCCTGGCTCACCTTGTACCCCGCAGTTACCTGGAATTGTCTATGAGAGAGCAGTTGGAAGTTGTCCAGTCACTACTGTGAAGCTGGGGGTAGTACATGTACGCTGTCTTCTTGACTCTGGATCACAAGTCTCCACCATCACTGAGAGTTTCTTTAATAAGCACTTCCGCCCTAAAAGAAGCGAACTGCTTGACACGAACCAATGGCTTACCCATACAGCTGCTAATGGCCTGGAAATACCATACAATGGTTAGCTGGAACTAGACTTTGTAGCACAAGATGTAACCATCACTAAGAGAGGTGTCCTCGTGTTATGAGAATCCCCTGATCCCCAATCAAGAGACTGTAAAGAAGCTGTGCCAGGTCTGATTGGAATGAACATTATACAAAGAATGAACCAAGAGACTGGTTAAAAATCTGTCATGTCATGGACTGGTAATCATGAGCACCCTCTCATCATTCAGTCGTGGATGTGTCAAAGTAAAAGTTGCTAACATAGCACAAGAAGATGTTTGGCTTCGCTCCCGTGAGAGAATTGGTATAATGCATGCAGTAGTAGGTGTCCAGGATGACAACCAGGCAGTTGCCTTCACACAAGTCTCTGCCAGAGAAGTAGTCATGCAACCCAAGCCCTAAGAATCCCCCAAGAAAGAAGATTCCCCGAAGTCTACACCCATTCCCCCTGAAGACATGCATTGCACCCCTGAGCTGCAAGTAAAACTTGATGAGCTCCTGGCCAAGTACAAGGACTTGTTTGTTACTGATGATGATGAACTAGGCTACACCGAAAGAGTAAAGCACAAGATATTCACCTCAGATGACATCCCTGTAAATCAGCCTTTCCGAAGAATACCACCCGGACAGTACCAAGAAGCAAAAGAACACATTCAGAAACTCCTAAGTCAAGGCATAATCCGAGAGAGCCACAGCCCCTATTCCTCCCCAATAGTACTTGTACGGAAGAAGAATGGTAGCCTCCGCATGTGTGTGGATTACAGAAAGTTAAACGCAAAAACGTTTAAATATGCTTATCCCTTACCGCGGATCGAAGAATCGTTCGAGGCACTGCAGGGAGCAAGCTGGTTTTCTACCCTGGATTTGGCAAGTGGGTTCAACCAGATAGGCGTAACTGAAGAAGACAAAGCGAAGACTGCATTCACAACCCCCTTTGGTCTGTTTGAGTACAACGGAATGCCTTTTGGACTCTGTAACGCGCCTGCGTCTTTTGCTCGGCTTATACAAGCTTGCCTAAATGAGCAGATCTTCTAGACTTTGCTTGTTTACCTGGATGACATCCTGATCTTCTCGAAAACCTTCGAAGAGCACCTTGAGAGACTAAAAATGGTTTTTAAACGCCTGAGAGAACATGGTCTGAAATTGAAGTTGGAAAAGTGTACCTTGCTGCGTAGAAGAGTAACCTACCTGGGGCACGAAGTATCTGGTGATGGTATCGCCCCAGACCCCCAGAAGATAGCAGTCGTACAAGAGTGGCCAGTTCCCCAAACTGTTAAGGAACTCAGAACCTTCTTAGGCTTCGCAAGTTACTATCGAAGATTCATTAAAAAGCTTTGCCAAGATAGCAGCAACCCTTCACCAGCTAGTGAACAATTCACTTCATGAACTCAAAGTTAACAAGAACCTGTTGTGCCCCTTCAAAGAGAAATGGAACCAAGAGTGCCAAAAAACATTTGACACCCTGCGTGAGAAGCTCACAACTGCACCAGTACTTGGTTACGTAGATTACACCAAGCCTTTTATTGTGGAGACAGATGCTAGCCATGACGGACTAGGAGCTGTGCTATCCCAGGAACAAGATGGTAGACGTAGAGTTATCGCTTATGCAAGTCGTCGGCTTCGACCCCCAGAGAAAAACATGCAGAATTATAGTTCTTATAGTTACTAGCGCTGAAGTGGGCTGTCACAGAGAAGTTCAGAAGTTACCTGTTAGGAACAGAATTCGTGGTGTACACAGACAACAACCCCCTAATTCACCCTCAGTCAGCCAAGTTAGGAGCAATGGAACAGAGATGGGCAGCTGAACTAGCCTTGTTTAACTTTAAGATGAAG